ACGTACATCTCTGCACATGAACATGCCTGAACACACCTCTGTGCACAGATACAGGCCCTCACACGCATCTGTGCATGTACATGTGCTGCATGTACATCTCTGCACGTGAACACACCTGAACACACCTCTGTGCACACGCAGAGAGGCCTTCATGTGCATCTGTGCATGTGCATGTGCTGCATGTGCATCTCTGCATGTGAACACGCCTGAACACACGTCTGTGCACACACACACAGGCCCTCACGTGCATCTGCACACACTCACGTGCCTGCACACACATCTCTGCACGCAGACCTCTGTGTACACACACCTGTACGTGCACCTGTGCCCACATACGTGCACACACGCCTGGCACACCTCTGTCTGCACACGTGCTTGCACACACACTTTGGCACACACTCAGCCTGCACACACTGCTCGTGCCCACACACGTCCCTGTGGGTGTCAGTGTACAGCTACACAGACCTGTGCACACACATCAGCACGCACAGCTGGCACACGGGAGCACTCCCACACACGTGTGTGCACAGCAGTGGGATCCACACACAGCCCCAAACACACGGGCACAAATGAACACACGACTGTACCCATCAGGGTGCACAGCTGCACGTCTGGCACACACATATCTGCAAACAAACATCTGCACACACACACATCTGCACACACACACCTGCACACACACATCTGCACACACACACCTGCACACACACACCTGCACACACATACCTGCACACACACACACACATCTACACGCTCACATTTGCCCGTGAGTCTGCAAGCACAGATCAGCAGCACACAGACAAATATAGAGGACAGAAGGCCATATGTGGAACTGAAGACACACATCAGCACATATATGTGTGCGTACTGAGACGTCAGGACATGTATGTGTGCACACGCACATCAGCACATGTGTGTGCATACTGAGACACGTCAGGATGTGTACACGTTCACACACTGAGATATCAGGACGTGTTTGTGTGCACAGAGAGACACACATGAACACATATGCATATGTACACAATAAGACACGCGTGAACACAGACATGGGTGCACACATGCACACAACATATAGCTGTGCACGTACAGACATCATCATGCATGTGTGCACACTATTACATCAGCACAGGTACTTGTGCACACACAGACACACATCATCATGTATGTGTGTGCACACACAGACACACTTCAGCACGTACATGTGTGCACTGAGACACATCAGGGCGTGTACCCGTACACACACAGAGACATCAGGACACGTATGTGTGCACAGATAGACACACACGAGCACATACACGCACACGCTGTGGCATCAGGACAAATGTGTGCACAAGCTGAGGCACAGCAGGGCATGTACTTGTGACACAGGCACACACAGCACACGTGTGTACACACACACACACACATGGGTCACACATGAGTGCACACACACACACACGGAGCACATGTTTGCACCCACAGATCACACGTATGCACACACAGAGATCACACATGGGTGCACAGACACAGATCACACGTGTGCACACACTCACAAATCACACGTGTGCACACACAGATCACACATATGCACACACAGAGATCACACGTGGCTGCATACACACACAGATCACACATGTGCACACACACTCACAGATCACATGTGTGCGCACAGAGATCACACGTGTGCACACAGATCACCCATGGGTGCACACACAGATCACACATATGCACACACACACAGATCACATGTGCACACACACAGATCACACATGGGTGCACAGACACACAGATCACACATGTGCACACACACACAGAGATCACACGTGCACACACACACGGGTCACACGAGCGTGCCCTGCCCACCCGCGGGCACACACCCCATCGCCCCCCGGCCCCTCGGCAGCACAGACGTGACGTGGGGCTGCAGAAAATTATTAGTTTTCCTGACTGGCCCCGAGGGTCAGGAAACACGAAATTACCATCTTCGCAGCCAATTTCGGAGGCACTAGACACTTGTGTGTCGGCGTCGGAGGGTTTTTCAAGCAGTTCCCATGGAAAAGGAAACTCCCCATCTCTTCTGATCACATACGACAGGTCCTGTGCATGTCTCCGGTAGCTTAAAACAACACACCGATATTTATTTTCCTTAATTAAGATTGCATAAGATAGCCCTGGGTCCTGGAGACTTTGCTACAGACTGTAATGACGCCATGTAAATTGTTTTTTATGACCCAATATACAACATATTGTCACATTCAGCCCTTGAATAGGAAGCTAAAAATCTCGGCCCCTATTTTTCTTGTTAATTAGGGTATTATTACCAGGGATATAATCTCATTACTTTTTGGGGAGGAGAAGAACTAGTTGGAGCCACTTTGAAAAGTACTTGAATATATTTAAATGAAGCAAAATCCGTCTTTCTGCTAATTGCTGATTTTGCATGACATAGAATTATTGTTCTGATTTCGGGGGCACGGTTGATGCGGGGCTGAAGGGGATGAGAGGGGGGAAGGATGCTGTTTGCTTTTTTCCTGCTCAGCTTTCCCCTCCAAATGAATGAGCCGCCCCATAGGAAACTCCGTCTGCAAATTTCCATTCTTTTAAACATCCCAAAAATAAAACAAGATGCAGCCACTTTGAGGAATAATCATTTGAATGAAATATTTGCTACTTTAAGATTTTTTTTCCCCCTTCTTCTTTCAGATGATCCTCTTGTTTTGCATGTGAAAAAAATCGTCTGAGATTTACAGCCCTCCCAAATGGAGATAAAGCCTTGGCAATGAGTTGGAAACCTGTTGTAATCTGTGATCCAGGAAACAAAGAGCCTCATTAATGCAGAGACTTTGGTGAGCCTTTGATGTTAGCTAGCATAGCATTCACTCTCAGTTCCATTTGCATTTAAACATTCATAAAAACATCATCTCTGCTTCCTTTGCCTTAAGCAATTTAGGAGTAAAGTATAGCTTCTATTTAAAGAAACCCACTGTGGTGAGGCTTAGAATACAAATATCACATAATCTTCAAGCAGAGCAAATATTTTATCCTACATTTCTGGTGGGCACATTTAATAATATTATATTTAAGACCCAAAATAAAAGATCCATCTTATTTTCATTAACCTTACACCATATATTCGAGTCAGAAGAGAAAACGGGCCCTGTTAATTCTAAATATACTACATACCAATTTGTGGAAGGAAGAGAATCCAGAGGATTTTACATTATTCACAAGAGCTGAATTTTTGAAAACTGGGTGCCTACAGCAAGGTGCCTAAATCTGTATTTAGGCACACAACACTGAAAATTGTGAACAAGGTCAGGTTTATATATATATATTATCTAGTTTTCTGAACTGCAGAATCTTCATCCTGGTTTTAGAATGGAGTAGAAAAAGATTTTAAAAAAATTTAAATTTTATTTTTAACAGAATTATAAAAGTAAAATACTAAAAAAAAAAGTCAAAGTAAACCTAACATGGAGATTTTCTTTCAAGAGAAGGCACTGTTGCTGCCACACGGCATCCTGAGGGAATGGCATCACGTGGGGAATTTGGGCAATCACTTAGAAAGCAAAGGCCTGTGTATCTTATTATTTTCAAAAGTGTTATTCCCCAACACAGCTGTGAGAAGTGAAACAGTGCAAACAACACTGGAAACGTTCAGCTGGGGTTGTCCATGTTCCCTGTACCATTAAAAATAACCGAGCAATGGAAATCGATCCCATGTCACATCGGGAGCTCTTGATGTTCCCACTCTTAGGGGCAAATACAAGGAAATCTTTATGTTTGGTGCCGTGAGTCAGTGCAGCCAGACTGAGGTTTGAAGCACTATAAGCGAGTTTCCTATATGATGAATATCCGAAATTAAAAACTGAAATGGAAAACACTTAAAAACAACTTTACCTTGGATAAAATATTTCTGGAGCTGGATCAAAGGAAAACAAAAAGCCTGGCTTACTTGTCAGATCATATCTGCGCTGAACTTCAAGGTTTGATTTGTATTATTTACATGGAAAAGGTCCCAAGAAACCAATTTGGCACTAAATATCTTCATTACGTTTTTTCGCTTGTATGGGTGATTAAATCAATCCAGGGTTCCTGTTTTAATTTTTTTTGAAAGGTGCAGCCATCTGTGAATTGAGGAACTTTTCTGATGTCATCTTGGTGCTTCAGACATACTTTTTTCCCCCTCCTTTTTAATTTTTTTTTTTTTAATAAGGAAACTTTTAAAGGAGCATATTTGCTTTACTATTAGAGTTTCTAGCTGTCCTTCCAGTAACTGCTTAGAATTAAAGGTGTATGGTAACTTTTTAGAACATTTTAACTGTAACACCTGCAGGTAACAGTAAACCAGATTAAAAT